AAGAAAATCTTCACAAAAATGTGAATGGGCATCATATGACCCATATTTGCATTATTATTTTTTAAATATTTTAAAATATTTTTTTATTGATTTTAGAGAGAAAGGGAGACGGAGAGAGAGAAACATCAACAATGAGAAAGCATCATTGATCGGCTGCCTCCTGCATGCCTCCTATTGGTGGATCGAGCCTGCAACCCAGGCATGTGCCCTGACTGGAATTGCACCATGACCTCCTGGCTCATAGGTCTATGCTCAACCACTGAGCCACACCAGCCGGGCCATATTTGTATTATTTGATAAAATACTAGATTTCATAATTAGGTTTACTTCTGATGCACAGATATTTAGCCTGCACCTTGAAGGCTTAGTGACGTTCCTGTGACGGCAGTTTGTCCATCTGTGCCTGAGTTACTGCTTCATCAATTGATGGAATACAGTGCATTATGGGGGAGGAAGGAAACCTAGAGGCTCACTAGTCTCATCCATCTCTGACCGATGCAGGAATTGCCCTCCACCATTCATTTCTTCACTCCCCAAGTCCCCTCCCGAGTGATTATACGTCTCAGGCCCCACGGGAGGGGTGCAGGCAAGATTGGTCCCCGTTGCACAGAATCTGGGAAGGGCAGAGGAAAGGGCAGGCGAGTACAAATCATTATATGCTGTGATAGATGCTACGAAGGCAACATGCAGGGGGCTGTGCCAAAGAGCAACACGAGGGACCTAATTTAGAAGACTGCTCTGACAAACAGCATTTGAGCTGGGCCCTCAAGGGCAGTGAGGGCCCTCCAGGGAGGAGGCCCGCGGTGGAACAGCTGGATGGGGAAGATGAGCAGGAAGGCCACTGCAACCCGAGTGAATGTAGGGGGGGTGCCATGGCACAGGGCCCTGTAGCGCAAGCTTAGATAGGTAGATGTTATTCCCAGTGAGATGAGAAGTCACGGAGCAGTTTAAAGTAAAGGGAGTAACGGTATCTATTTCTTAACTTCAGTTTTTAGCCAAATTTTGGTTAATTTGCAACCTTCTAAAACACCAGATATTTAATACAATGAAAGAAAAACACTAAAATGTTGCCAATGTTTTTTTAGAAAGTGCAATCCTGTTTTTTTATTTTTATATCCTCCTGATATTTTCAATATTTTGCTAGGTTTTGATTTTTTTTTTTAAAAGAAGCAGTTACTACGTTTAAAATAAGACAAAACCCACATTCATATATAAGAATAAGCGGGGAAGCTAAATTTTATTTGCCAATGATATAAATGTATTTGTATGGAATATGTGTTCTGTGACTGTTCAATGAAATTGAAAGCAAAATGGTTCTAAAATAAATTACCAGTGGGCAAAACACTGTTTTCTTTTAAATCTCTGCAGTAAGGGAGATAGTTTTCTAAGGATAGCTTATTTTTCAAATTGCCATCGTTGAAATATATCTGTTTAGCACCCTGTGTGTAAGCTGCAGCTCCCAAGGCTAACAGACATTCTTGGTTTTGTGTCTTCTTGTCCATCTATGCTGGTTTGTTCCCGAACGCTCCACTATTCCAGAAATAAATTATGAATATGGTGCTTGGCCAAGCAGGCTCCCTTGGGAAGAAGGGAGAGGTGCAATAAAGGAGCGCCGCCCCCTTTCAGCCCCTCTGACCTCCCCCCGCTGGCCACTTGCTGGGTATATTTGTAAGACTTTGGGGAGACGGTCCCCCTTTGTCCTGAACAAAAAGTGGGTCAACTTTCCCCCCACCCTTTCTAACAGGTTATTCAGATGTGCTGCGTGCATTAATCCACCTTGTCAGCTCAAAATCAGTGATTCACTGGAAATGAGGACACTTTTAATTCCAATGTAAAGATATACAACATTTCCCAGCTTCCCTAAAAATGGCAGCTTTATGACATAAGATCCTGGGGTGCTATTCAGAGAGTGTCAAGATGTGCTTCCTGAGCTCGAAGGACTTCATCTCAGGAAGGGAACACAAAACGAAGACACAGAAAACCCTCTGAGAGGCTTAGTGGTACGTGAAGAAAAATTGCCAAAGGGTCTGAGTTAGTCAAAGGTGAAAAAAACTTTCTCCTCAACTTTGTCAGGCTGGAAGCTTTAGAAATTCTGCATATGGATAACTGCACATGTACGTGTGTGTGTGTTTGGCTTTTTTCCTATGGTGAGTGAGGAGGGTGGGGGCCAGTGCAGAGAGGAGGTGCAGGCAAGGGGGCAGGCAGAGCTGGGACCCTCGTTTGCTCTTTAACCAGAACAAGGCTACTTTCCCATGTTTTACATACGACATGTCAGAAAGGGCTTCCTCACTTGAAAGTGTTCAAAGTGTGCAGACCTGCTGTGATGCGTCTGACTTTCTTCTATAGTCGCGGCGCTGGGCTAAGCACTCTGCACATTTCATTTAAATAATCCCTAAAAAATGACATGATGTAGGTCCTAGTATTCCCACTTCACAGACGAGAAAACAGAGGCTCTGAAAGGATAAATAATCTGTATCACACACACGCAGCTACTAAGTAGCGGGGCGAGGATTCACATTCAAGTCTGTCTGCTCTGAAGCCCATCCTTCCAACCACAAGGCCACCCTGGATCTGTGCTGAAGGCTCAAGGAGCATACAGTCACCGGCCCTTAAGCAGCAGGCTGATACCCAAGGCACAGGTCTCGCGCTGAAGTACAATGAAATGTATGAAAGGGTGCTTTCAGTGGGGCACACTGCCAGGATGTCACTTTACTTAAAGAGGCTTCAATGGCTTAGGAAACAAGTTTTGGCCACAAAGGATGGAGAAATGCTTCCAGACGAGAGGACAGCTAGTGCAGAGGCGCTCCGCAAAGACTTCCTGGTTTGGGTGGAAGCTGCCTGGAGGGGGTGGCAACCTTCCCTTGGCCTATCCACACCCCGAATCTTTTCACTAAGGAATGTTTTAAAACGTAAGACAACAATAAAGAGGACCAATGGGGAAGCTTTCCCGGGATTTGAGGGTTGACATGGGCATTTTGGGGTCTACAGGGCGTTGTCAGCAACAGGGCAGATGGACAATCCCTGGGGGAAGCCACTAGCAAAAAGGAAGAGAACAGATACACAGAAGCAAGGAGAGCCAGCTAGTGAGGTCAAATCCCTCCTGTCTGCTTCTTTAAATGGCACTACTGCTGCCTCCTTTGTTCAAAGCTCCTCACAGGAGCCACCTCCAGGAGAGGAGAGTCGAGTGTTTTTCCCTCCTTTAAATGGTAACATTCTTTCAGGTGTTCTATTCTTTTCTTCCTTTCTTTTTTTTATTATTCTTTTTCTTTTGTGGAACCATTTTTCTTTTCTAGGAAGTTGTCAAAACATATGATTTTTTAACTTTAAAGAAAAACAGGACTGCAATGTGTCAAATCCCTGGAAATGGTCTGAACCCAGTGGAGTTTACACAGAAACACACAGTAAAAACCCTAAGGCCATCTGGCCACAGAGATCTCAGTTTCTCTGACAACACTCCTGCAGCGGTGGGAGGGCAAGTCCTGGGATCACTGAAGTGAAAATCAGGCAGGAGAACAAACAAGAACAGGCAGGTTTCAAAACAACATATTTTGGTTCCTGTTCTACTGAGTTTCAGACCCATGTCACCTCCCAGGGATAACATGGGACTGAGAAGGGACTCAGGAAAAAGACTTGTTCCTAAATGCTGACTACAAATCAAGACACATTTAAGGGGCACTAAGGGAGGGGGGCTACTTAAGGGGAGCCCAAGGCAAACGTACATATGAAGCGATCACTCATTGCCTCCCTTGTTCTGTTTTGTGTTTGCATGGCTATAACATCGGCGTATTACAGCAGTGACTACAATTTCTCGGAGTTATGCGCATTCACAGTTATTCAATTTGCAAGCATGAAAATTGTACTCTTCGGGTACTGAACATATTTGATAGACAGAAGTAGATGTAGCCCAGAAAGGAATGGAAAAGAGGCTGGAATGTGAACGCTCCCAGGGAGCTGGGTAGGCCCACACAGGAGCTTGCTTGCAGGTCAGCAGGACAAGCCAGTGCTCCATGCAGGACCTGTAGTCAAGCTGACAGGATTTCAAGTGAGAGAAGGGACCGTCTTCTACAAAAATGAGAAAAGCACACAGTGTTGCAACAAGAATTCCTGTGTTAATCTGCTAAATATTCGCCTGTAGCAAAAATCAGGAGAAGTCTCCAATTGCCCTGGCCGGGTAGCTCGGTTGGTTAGAGCGTCATCCCAATACGCCAAGGTTGTGGGTTCAATCCTCGGTCAGGGCACATACAAGAATCAATCAATGGCCCAGGCTGGTGTGGCTCAATTGGTTGAGCACTGCCCCATGCACTGGAAGGTCGCCAGTTTGATTCCTGGTTGGGGCACATGCTCAAGTTTTGGGTTCTGTCTCCGGTAGGGGTGTGTATGAGAGGCAATGGATTGATGTTTCTCTCTCTCTCTCTCTCTCTCTCTCTCTCTCTCTCTCTTTCTCTGTCTCTCTCTAAAGTCAATAAAAACGTATTTTTTCCTTTTTTATTTAATAAAAACATATTTTTAAAAGAATCAACCAATGAATGCAAGAATGATGCATAAATAAGTGGAACAACAAATCGGTGTTTCTCTTTTCCTCTTTCTTCCTAAAAATCAATAAATTTAAAAAAAGAGAAGTCTGCAATCATTTGAGAATCCTGAAAAATCTATGTAAAATTTGGACCTTCTAGGCAATACCTTGGAGAGATAAACACTCTAAAGCCAAACCGGCTTGCTCTTCCGTACGGCCCCTCTGCAGTGCAGTGTCCTGCGGATGCTCTAGAGCTGCCAGCCCCAGGAGCGCGGAACACGTTTACCTGCTATTTGGTTGTAGGTAGCAGGGTTACTGAGAAGGTCATTTTGCACTTGGGGAGGGAATGGAGAAGGTGGGGTCATGCCAGAGGGGATGGGCAGAGGTGAGAGGAGCCCCAAAGTGGAGGGAAAGGCGTGGGCAGCTGTGTGCTGCGGGCACCGCCTGCTTGGTGTTCACAGTAGGCAGTCATCATGAGGCCACTTACCTGAAATTTCTGGAAGTGTGGGCTTGTCTTCTTTCCAGAAGTTCCCATCACAAACAGGAAGTCTGGGGTTAGCACAAATGGCACTCTCTCCTTATTAATGCCCAGGAAGCTTTTGTAATTCCCAAGAATATGCCCAAAGTCAATATGAAATAGATTTCCTTAAAAGAAGAAAATGTCTGACATCATTACGCTGGCATAAGTGCTTGTAACAATACTCGGGTTTGTTTACTCCTCAAAACATGTTTTTAGGTTGCCTGACAATGAACCATCTTGGGTGACAGAGCTATTTTTACACTGTTTTATCAGCCGGTGGTAGTTTTCGTTTCAGCAGGTGTGTGTAGTAATAGCCACAAAGCGCTCTTTGAACCAAGTATGTTTTCTTTACCCTTCCTGTGTTCTTTAAATGAGTCAAATGTTATTTAAAAATTCTCGTCTCAGAATTATTCTTAGAAATATAAATCAAAACTCTGGCTAATAGTCTTCATTATGCCCAAGACTCTTTTATACCCTTTGTGTAACTCCAGATAGACTGATGTTTCAGTCCGCGTGGGGTTTCTTCATTTACCTTTTACTTTTGAGTAGCATGATAGAAATAAATCATTTGAATTTCCTTTGGGTCAAATTCTACCATTTTTACCATCACCACCACAATTACCATCATCTCTTCTCATTTGTATAGCTCTTTTTCATATGTATGGACAATACATTATTGATTCTCATAGAGAGAAAAGTGGTTTACCCAAATATGGTGCTTTTCCCAGACTCTTAAGTTGGTCCAAATTTCTTTTTAAAAAAAATCTTTATTGTTGAAAGTATTACATGTCCCCTTTTCTTCCATTAACCCCTCTAATCCCCCCAAGCCCTCTGCCCCAGGCCTTCACCACCCTATATTTTGTGTCCATGGGTTATGCATATACGCATACAAGTTCTTTGATTAATCTCTTCCCACTTACCCACCCATTCACCTCTGCCTTCCCTCTGAGATGCGACATTCTGTTCCATGCTTCTATGTCTCTGATCTATTTTGTTTATCAGTTTATTTTATTCATTGGATTCCACATATGAGTGAGATCATGTGATACTTGTCTTTCTCTGACTGGCTTATTTTGCTTAGCATAATACTCTCCTGGTTCCTCCATGCTGTCTCAAAGGGTAAGAGAGCCTTCTTTTTTTACTGCTGACTAGTATTCCATGGTGTAAATGTACCACAGCTTTTTTATCAGTCCAAATTTCTTAGGCAAAAATTTCTTGGCATGGTAGCCAATATTGACCACTGTCAGAGCAGACAGTGAACTAGTGAGCAGGGGTAGGTTAGGAAGACACAGCATATTAGATGTAAAGCCCTATATCTGTGAGTTCTTTTTGTTTGCTTTTCTATAACATTTGACACTGTTGATCGTGCCCACCTTCACTAGCTTCTGGGATATGATCTTATCCTAGCTACTCTCTGACTTATGTTTCTTGGGTCTCATTTCCTCCATCCTCCTCCATTCCTCACTCCTGGGTGATCTAGGGTGATCACAGAATCAGTGTCCCTGTATAATAATGACTTCTAGATAGGTGCTCCAACCTTGAATCCTATTTAAAAAATTACTCTGTGCTGGGGGAGGAGAAGTTAGTGCTCAATGGTTAGAGTCTCAGTTGGGGAATAGGAATAAGTTCTGGAAATGAATGGTGGTGATGGCTGCAGAACAATGTGAATGTACACAATGCCACTAAACTGTGCATTTACAACTGGTTAAAGTGGTACATTTTATGTTATGTGTATTTTACCACATTTTTTTTTAAAAAAAAAGTTGCAGTAAATAAACTCACCTGTCTCTGTAATCATAATGTTGTCGTTGTGCCGGTCGCCTATTCCGAGAACAAAGGTTGCCACACAGTAGCCAGCACAGGAATAAACAAATCTCTCCACCGCTGCCTGAAACTAATGCACATGCATCTGAATATTAGCTGTGTTCCAACTACAGCGACAGCATGAACCTATCACAAGTGACTTTCAAAAAGACCTCATTCTGGGAACCATTTCAGAGAGCAAATTAGTTGTGTGGGGTTCCATTAACATTATATCTGCTAAGTGCCAACTTTCTCATTTGCTCTACTGACATTTCAGGCAAAGATTCAATGATCCACAAGAGCAGGAGGAGAAAACAAGAGGCAACGGGCGACATCAATTTAATCAAAGGGCTCACTGTCCCTCCGGGTGTCACTTGCCAACAACTAGACAGAACTCAGGATCATTTCTTCGTCATTGATGAACATGTGTCATTGGTGAACATGTGTTTTGCTTGTGACCACTTTAAAGGTGATGGGGTCACAATCCACATGTACAACAGACGAATAAGTGCTGCTAATGACATTGCCTTCCCAAAAGCCTGTGAACCATGTAAATGAGAAGTACTAATAAACCCTGTGCAGAACTTTCAACGACAGCCCACGGCTTGGGAAGGATTCAGCACATGTACTTCAGGGGAATGTGAAACTGACATTTTCAGCATCCATAATCTATCGTTTAGATTAGACTGACGTGGTAAATTAGAAAGCGCTTTACAGGGTATGCACTGTTTCCCAGGTAGGAAGAAGTTTATGTGTGCTAACTAAATTTTTCTGCTGAACAACAAAAATACACTGTCATAAAAAGTGCTACTGAATTATTTCACAGAACCAAATTTGATGCAAAGCGAGCCTGATAATCAAAGGAGAAACAAATGCTCATGGAGTTCTGAACAGAGCTTTTCTGTTTTACACAGCGATGCTAGGTCACCACAAGAAGGTGCCTACAACCCTCAGGACCTCATGAATAAAGGGTTTCACGACATACATCAGGAGGCACGACACTGGCAGATCCTTTGGACATGTGAAACCGACATGGCCATGTAAATGACAACTTCAAGGGCCTTCGGAGTGGAGAGAAGCAGGGGCTCACCTTTTCTTCAATAGGGCATTTTTCTTTCAGCCAGTGATTCAGGACTTCATCTTTAAACGCTCCTGTGTTGCCCACGGTGCTTTGCTGAATTTTGGCAATGGTTGTGGCATCTTTCACAATCTGGATCATTCCTGCAAGAGGAGGCACACAGTTTGATAGAGGCTGGGGCCTAGGGCCTGACCCAGAGGAAAAATGGCTATGTCTTTGTTGAGTGGAGGGCAGAGAGCTACTTTCCAGATTCAAGCAGTTGGTTTTCTTCAGAGTGAGAGAAACAAAAGGAGGAGAATATGGAAGCTGTGTGGGACATGCTTAATATTACTGAGGGGGAAGAGGACAGGGTTGGTTTTGAAAGGTCCTAAGTAAAAGCATTTATGGGCTGAGTATATTCCTCCTTCCTTGGCAACCTGTGCCTTTTCCTTTATTTTAAGTTATAGGCCAAGTAAAACGGTTTTGTACAGTTCTCAAGTCAGAATCTTGAATAAAAATGTTTGATTGGCCCGGCTGGCGTGGCTCAGTGGTTGAGCGCTGACCTATGAACCGGGAGGTCATGGTTCGATTCTAGGTCAGGGCACATGCCCGGGTTTCAGGACCGATCCCCAGTGTGGGGTATGCAGGAGGCAGCTGATCAATGATTCTCTCATCATTGATGCTTCTATTCCTCTCTCCTCTCCCTTCCTCTAGGAAATCAATAAAAATATGTATTAAAAATGTTTGATTGAAATAAAATGTTAAATATTCATAAAAGTGCCTAAAAGTAGAGTATGTAATAGCTTTAATTATGTGAATTCTGGGATATTAAAATCAGTGACAGAATTTCTATTTTTAAATGTTACTTGTGAGGGAGAAGTTTAATGTGCAATGAAACAGTTAAAGTTTAGAGGTGGAAAAGTAAAGAGGGAAGAGCAGGTTCTAACTAAAATAATTTCCATGTATAGTAACAAGGTTTTGAATCATGCATTCATTTATCTTCAACATATCCATATTAAATTGGGAGTCACGTTCACCCTCCTTGGAACACTTTCTTCCTTTTTATACGGATGTAGATTGTAATTTGTCAGTCAGCAAATGCCGGCACTGAAGGAATTGCGATCCTTTAAAAGTAGCTGAGTGATACATCCACCTCCTGAGGTAAGCACATACCTATTTTGTCACCAGTTGAAATGCAACCATATGGCAGGAGGCACAGATCCAAAGATTCAATCTCCCAGATGGATTCCATGATTCGTAGAATCTGGGTATCAAAACACAAAAAGGTTTCCATTATAAATGTATATATTTCTTCTTCTGAAAAAAATATCTGGTAACACAAAATATGAAATAAAACATTTTTTTTTATTATTTATCAACCTGGTACTCTGAAGTTTCCATTCCTTGGGAGCCTATAAATTTTGGTCCCTGAGATTTACCTTGGGGAAGAAGATAAGTGGATTTCTTTTGAGATAGATTTTGGCCCCAATTCATCTATTCCACTCCAGGTATGTATATTTTACCACAATAAAAAAATTCCACTCTACACATAAGGCACTCTCAGGCTACAACCAAGACGATAATAGCAACAATCACAATGATAGCCAGCATTTACTGAGTGCTGTTGTATGTGATCTCTTGCATTTATCCTATAGTGTGGAGTAATTATTATTCACATTCTGCAGGTGAAGAGACTAAGGCTTAGAGAACTGAAATAACTTGTCCTTATCTGCCAAGCAAAGTGCCTTAACGACAAGACAAAGTACATAAGGTTCAAGTGCAAAATTTGCCTCAAAATGAGAGGAAAATGAGTGATGTTTTGTGGTTTTCAGTTACAGCTTCAAATAATTCAAAAGAGGTTACAGATTTGTTGGAAATTAAATGAACTTTCAAAAGGTTTTGAACTTTCAAAAGAACTTTCTTTTTCTTTTTAATAAAAAATTATTTCCAGGAAAAATACATTCTTGAAAAGAGAGCAAAGGGTATTATTGTTTCCATATTAGAAATCAGCAAAAACAGAAACATAGAGGGAATTGAAAACATGTCCTTGTTTTTAAATAGTCTACATTTATAGCACTGTGGTTTGCCTATTTTAAGTAAATCATATCACATATTAGAAATTACGTTACCTCTACAATGTTGAACAACTAGAATACAGAGTATCACTGAAGTTTATCCAGAAATGTTAGAACATAGAAAAATGATGAACATTGGATACCTGCATCATTCATCTGCTGTAGCAATCTGTTCACTCTTGTTATTTAACTGCATGATTTCTTCAATCACCTACCTGTTCATCTTCTTTCCCATTCCTATTAAGTCAGTCACTTGAGTTTGTATTATGTGGATGTGTATCAAAGGTTATGTATCTAAGAAAAGCATCTCTGTGTGTACCGTATGTAGCTATGTCTATGAATATGAATAAAAGTGAATGCTTGGAGGTAAATACATCCATGTTCTGTGTTACCATTCTAGAAATGGGGTATATAGGTGAGGGGAGTATATCTGACTATTTGAACATGTTGGATATGCATCCTCTCAGGAGTGACAGAACTATGATGCTCACTAGATGGCATAGCGAATGGTTCACAGCCATACTCCCGCCAGGGAAACTATTATGTAATCACTGTTCATCATGCAAGATAGGAGAACGGGAACAGAGTCAGTAGAAGGCATTTTTTTTAGATCTAATATACTAGAAATGTTTTTTCAGATAATTGAAAAAAAATCCTTCACGGTAGCATACCTGTAAAATGAGCATGTCTTGGCGCAGATCATCGCCATGTTTAAAGATAATCCCAATGGTCTCGTTGGATAGAGCTGTAGGGTCGGCACATTTAAACTCAAGCCACAGGGGTTTCTTCTTAGAGGCCATCACTTTACACTTTTCAACCTGGAAAGAAACAGTCAGATGTTTTTATACATAATCAATACACATTGTAGAGACACACATCCTCTTGTGAAGTATCAATATAAACAACCAGGACAAACTCCTAGTTGGAAAATGATTTTCAAAGATATAGGTAAAAAATACAGAAAGTGTCCTCAGCAAGTCTGAAAATGCTAGGGAGAGTAATTTACAACACTTAAATCAGTGGTTCCCAAAGTGTGTTCCAAGGAACCCTAAGGGTCTGTGAAGATGCCTAAGAGCTATGGCAGATCCCATCCTCTGCACACCCCATTCCCATAGGATTCTGGTACAGAGCAACTTTGTTTATATATTTGGGCTCCCTCTAAGATTTAAGTTGGGAAAAAAAAAGAATTCTACTGCTACCACAATGTCTAAAAACTATTATTGCAGCCCTAACCGATTTGGCTCAGTGCATAGAGCGTCGGTCTGCGGACTTAAGGGTCCCAGGTTTGATTCCGGTCAAGGGCATGTACCTTGGTTGTGGGCACATACCCAGTAGGGAGTGTGCAGGAGGCAGCTGATCGATGTTTCTCTCTCATCGATGTTTCTAACTCTCTATCCCTCTCCCTTCCTCTCTGTAAAAA